ACTTAAACATACCTATAAACTATAAACCGTCCTATAAACTATAAGACATAGGCCTCTAAACTATAAAACATAGTCCTATAAACTATTAAACATAGTCCTAAAACTTAAACATAGTCCTATAAACTATAAAACCGTCCTATAAACTATAAGACATAGGCCTCTAAACTATAAAACATAGCTAAAAATTATTAAACAGTCCTATAAACTATAAAACATAGTCCTATAAACTATAAGACATAGTCCTATAAACTATAAAACATAGGCCTATATGTATAAAATTCCGTAAACCAGATGCACCCAACACTTAACATTCCTAACAATAAACAGTAAAATTGCACAACACATATTAATTTTTTTCTCTCTTTTCTTCACTAATAAAACTCAAGGCCAATAGTATATTTATCGACTCAAGATTGCTCTCACGAAAGTCTGCTTCCATAATACACAAACTTTTATTTTTTTACGCTTATGTTAAGTGATGTAGTCGTGAGGCACTTTCGTAAACAATCTTCATACTTGCTTTTATCTTTAATTAGAACTTTAGGTCGACTTTTATATGTTTTTTATCCATGGAGATTTGATGATGAATTCTGATGAAGCTGCAACAACCATGAATACATTTCTGTTTTTGTGTATTCTCATCTTGTACTACGAATCAAAAGGCAGAGGCAATACAGTTAATATTCACTTACTCAATCCCACACACACACACACACACACACGACATGTGCACTTTCATACATGTGTATATGAATAAATAAATTGATAAATATATGAATAAACAAACAGATACACACACACACAAAGATACATACATACATATGTATATATATATATATATATATATATATATATAATATATATATATATATATATATATATACATACACACACACACAACATCACACACACACACATATAATATATATAATATATATATATATAATATATATAATATATATATATATATATATACATATATATATATATATATATATATATATATATATATATATATATATATATATATGTATATATATACATACATACACATGTAAGTGTCTGTGTGTGTACTAATGTGTTTGTGTACATACAGGTATGAATCTATCTACCAATTCATCAAAGCACCTATCCATCTACCTATCTATCTAATGCAGCTGCACTAAGTACCTATCCATCTACCTATCTACCTAATGCAGCTGCATCGGCAACAGCTAGACCCATACCGGTAGCCCTCACCCAGTCCCTTGCCCTCGAGAGGAAGTCCCAGCGCCACTGCTCAGCGACGTCACAACGCCATCGGTTGAGAGCGGTTGTGAGACAGATTGTTATGGTGTCTTCTCGTGACTCTCGAGATGCAGGTCCGTGGCACTCGTGACTGATGGTGCCACAAATTATCGTAATGATAGTAATAATGTTTGTCTATCTATATATCTGTATCTATATGTCTATATATGTCTGTTTTCTATATATGTCTATTGTGTGTGTGTGTGAATGTTGTTGTGTTGTTGTGTGTGTGTGTGTGTGTGTGTGTGTGTGTGTGTGTGTGTGTGTGTGTGTGTGTGTGTGTGTGTGTGTGTGTGTGTGTGTGTGTGTGTGTGTGTGTGTTTGTGTGTGAATGTGTGAGTTAGACTTCAAATGATCATTTACGTATGTATTATAAAAGAAAAATCCACTGCCTTTAAATGTAGCTATAATACAACGATATAATTATAGTTGCAATATAAGACTACTTGTTCACCGGTGAGGTTTTGCAACAGCTTCTAAGGTTGTTGTCTTTTAATGCAAATCTACAATAAAAAAACTGAAAAATACACAATATACAAAATTCAAATTAAGCAAGTATGATTAAAAATATAAACAAACAAACAATACGCAAACTTCAAATTCCGCAAGTATGATAAAAAAACAAAACAAAAACAATTTAAGCAAGTATGATTAAAAATATAAACAAACAATACACAAAATTCAAATTACGCAAGTATGATAAAAAAAACATAAACAAAAAGACAATAAAAAACAATTTAAGCAAGTATGATTAAAAATATAAACAAACAATACACAAAATTCAAATTACGCATGATAAAAAATAAACATAAACAAAAAGACATAAAAAAAAACCGCTATGTACTCACACAAACAAGGAACACACAAGAGCCACTTTACAAACTAGCCATTTTACAAACTAGGAAAATTTGGGCGGCTGTTAGGAAAGCCCAACGCAACAGGTTTTTTCTCGTTCAGATTCTCGTTCAGATTCAAGAGGCGAGAGGTTGGGGGGGGGGTGAAGAGGGTGGGGGGGAGGGGTAAGGGGGTGGAGGGAAGAAGAAGGAGGGGGAGAGAGGGGAGAGGGTGAGGGTTGAGGGAAGTGGGAAGGGGTGTGGGGGTGGGGGTATGGGGGGGAGGGGGAGGGTTGAGGGAAGATGGAAGGGGTGTGGGGGTGGGCGTATGGGGGGAGGGAGGGGGGTATGAGGGGGAGGGAGAAGGCAGGAAGTAAGGGGGATGGAGGGAAGAGGGAGAGAATACGAAAGTGGAGGGAAGAGGGAGGTGAGGTGAAGGAGAGGGAGTTGGATAAGAGGATGGGGTGAGAGGGTGGGAGTAAGAGTAGGGGTGGGGAAGGAGGAGGGGGTGTATAAGTCAAAAGGTTAAAAGTTGAGACAAAAAGGTATTGCGCGGCAAAGAACATAAAAACTTGTTCTTTATGTAAACAATATCTTCTCCTTTTTGACACACACACACACACCTTTCTGGCTGAGAGAGAGAGAGAGAGAGAGAGGAGAGAGAGAGAGAGAGAGAGAGAGAGAGAGAGAGAGGAGAGAGAGAGAAAGAGAAAGAGAAAGAGAAAGAGAGAGAGAAGAGAAAGAGAGAGAGAGAAGAGAGAGAGAGAAGGAGAGAGAGAGGAGAGAGAGAGAGAAGAGAGAGAGAGAGAGAGAGAGAGAGAGAGAGAGAGAGAGAGAGAGAGAGAGAGAGAGAGAGAGAGAGAGCTAGAGAGAAAGCGAGAAAGTCGGGCAGGCAAACCGGTAGACATACAGATACACAGACACAAAAAGACAGACATATACCAAACGAAACAAAACTGGAGGAAAAAAAACTGCAGTGTTAAAGAACGAAACATTACCATCCAGCCATAAAAACATATGGAAGTCACAAGGCCCCAACACTCACTCGAATAGTCATTGTCGCCACGGTCATGTAATCCGGGAATTTCCAGCTGGAGGACCAAAGAAAACACGGAACCGGTACCCTGATTTTAATTTCTCTTCGTAAGGCTGAATAACCCTTTATTTCATCACTAAATTTGCGTTCTTGATGTTATCTAATAATTGGTCGATGCTTATGTACCAGAAATGGAAGGAGTCATGCCGAATAAGAACTGAAATGACATATATAACGGGGTTTCGAGAGTGCGGATGGCGACACCTGGCAAGAATGAGCGCCAAAGTTTATAAAAAGGCCGTCGATTCGCTATACCTTTCCAGACATCAACTCGAGTCGTTGGTGATAACTTGTTCCTCCTCCTCTGCATTGTGTGTGAGTCTGAATTATGTAAGATTTAGTGAATAGAAAAAAAAAAAAAAAAAATGTGGCTTGTGATGCTTGTGTTGAAGTCGAAAGGAAATCGGTTGTGTTGGAAACTGACTTTATGGAAAGTTGTGCCTCGTCAGGTAGAAAAGAGTTTAATAAGAATAAGAAATGTTTTTTTTCTGTGTAAACATGAAAGGGTGTGTTTTATAGCGCGCGCGCACGCACACACACACACACACACACACACACCACACACACACACACACACACACACACACACACACACACACACACACCACACACACACACACACACACACACACAGCATATCCTTCTGTATATATATCATATAAATATACATTATATGTATACACACACAATATAATATATTATATATATATATATATGTATGTGTATATTGTGTATGTGTATATTGTATGTGTATATATGTATATATTATATGTGTGTGTGTGCGTGTGTGTATGTATGTATATATATGTGTGCGTGTGCGTGTCTGTGTGTGTGCGTGCGCGTGCATATAAACGGATGGTTTGCACGTGTTTACCATTCGATATGCTTATATTATATTTGGGGGGCATATCAAACAATTCCCTCTTTGTGTCTCGGAGCCAATACTTGTTAAACAGGTTGCCTACATTTCCCATACCATTAAAATAATAATAATAATAATAATAATAATAATATAAAAAATTGATCTCTTTCCACTTCTTTGAAACCGAAAGACACCTCCTCCCCCCCCTCCCCCCCCCTTAACCTCTCTCTCTCCAGATTTCAGAACCAAGATGATCCAGCAGTGGTCAGTGTTGGCAATGGCGACCCTGATGTTGGCAGCTCTATCGTGGGCAGCTCCACAGCAATCTTTTCTCCTGCCAACACCTGTGCCTTCGTGCAAGCGTTGGTGTAACCACGATGTCGATGGGTATTTGTACTGTTGTCAGGAGGAACAAGGCGCTGGTGAGTAGGGTCTGTACGCGAAGACACATACGCACATGCGGACACACGCAGATACTCATACTCACACGCACACGCACACACGAACACTCACACGCACTCACATTCACGGACTCGCACACGCACTCGCACTCGCAATCACTCTCACTCTCTCACTCTCACTCTCTCTCATCTCTCACTCTCACCTCACTCTCTCACTCTCACTCTCTCTCTCTCACTCTCACTCTCACTTCACTCTCACTCTCACTCTCACTCTCTCACTCTCTCACTCTCACTCTCACTCTCACTCTCACTCCACTCTCTCTCTCTCTCTCTCTCTCTCTCTCTCTCTCTCTCTCTCTCTCACACACACACACACACACACACACACACACACACACACACACACACACACACACACACACACACACACACACACACACACACACAACACACACACACACACACACACACACACACACAACCACACACACACACACACACAACACACACACACACACACA